TTTTTTTTTTTTTTTTTTTTGCTGAGCAAATATTTTATTATTAGGTTTATGAAATTGTGTAGCTGTAAACAGACTACATATTCATCATTTGAAATTCCTGAAGTTGATTAGTTGAGCTATATTTAAAGGATAATATCGGTTTTGAAGTCGATATTTGTGTAAGTATTGCTTTTTTAGGATTACTTTCGCCTCAAATGACATATTCTGGAAAAGAAAACCAACGATTTGGTGTAGAACGTCGAAGGAGTAAATCGTTATGTTCGCAGCAACTGCGAAACGATTGTGTGGTATGATTTTCTTTTTTTTTATAATTGCTGAAGCGATTGGAAATTGTTAGTAATAGTTTTAAGCCTGTATTCTTAGTCGCCAGCTTATTGAATAAAAAGTAATAAAAAAGAGTCTAATTTTTAAGGAAAATTTGGAATTATAAAACCTTTACAGCAACACAGTTATTTCAGGCAGTTTCTGTTGATGTAGAAGCTAATCAGGGTTTAGCTACACCAGTAGCATCACGACGAGTTTCTAACGGTGTTGTGCAAACATTGACAAGAATGAGGATTCAGCAGTGTTTTAAAGCTGCCAAGTAATTACTAGTGTATTTTATAGCAGATTATTTCTTGTCAAAATTTTTTGCAAATTTTTTTTGCTTGTTATCAGTGTTTTTTTTTTTAAACTTATCAATTCTATGATTTTTTGACTGCTTATACTCCGAATATTGCTCGATTATTACTCATCAATTGTAACAGTCAAGCACCACTGTTTTTGATAAATTTTTTCTTCGTTGTTTTTGATGTCTGTTTTTAGTTCAACCAAAAGTAACTTACCTTTCTAGGCCAAACATCGGGCAGTCAATACTGAAACGAGCTTGCGCATTACGGAGTGAGATGCGCACATTTCTAGCAAGGTTGTCCAACGAAAAAGTTGATGAATTAACCAATGATTTTTATACTTTTCTAAGTGAATGTGTCGAAAACACTGATGATGCTGAATCGGTAAGCTGATATTTTAAAATTGTAAAATAATTTTGATAGGGAAAAGTGGTATGTTGAAAATTAGGTAAATAAAAAAATTGGCTGGTACAATTTGGCAATAGAGTTAGAAAAATATTGATGGATTACATACGTTTCTGGCATACTTTTAAAGGACAGTCTAGCTTTACCATTTTATTTTTGAGTGAAATTTCATTAAAAAAAATACACACATTGTCTTTGTTTTGCGACGACAGACAGTGTTTAGACTTAAACTCTAAAAAAGTCACTATACCGGTAAGTCAGGAAGAACTATCATTTAGAGTGGCTTAATTGTTGGCTTTTCAAGGCGTTCATGAAATGTAGGAGAATATAATACTGAAGCAGATAAAGTTACTTTGATATATAGCTGTTTAAGAGAAAAAAATAAGCATTAAGCTTAATTGTCTATTAATAGACGGGTAGATAATTTCAGCATTCTAGAAATTTTCACCTGAAGGTAAGTCATTAAATTTAGTCATTTTTCACTGACATTTATTGTGAACTATTGCAGCTTTCAGTAGCATTTTTTAGGTAAAACTGATCTCCAAAAATTTTGGTGAACGTTTGGCACGTTTATCGAGCGTTGGCTTTCGACCTGACTATTTGACACCGATTGCTGATGCTGCGATTGCAGAATGCGTAAAACTTGATGGAGGAGCTCATAAGCGCTGTGAAACGCTGTCGGCATGGAGTCAGTTAATTGCCGTGATGTTCACCAACGTTCGTGATGGGTACTATGAGATGATGCGACGACAGCGTCGAGTCAGCTTGCCACATTTTCAAGCAAGACTCAATTTAAGCTTGAAAGAAAATAAAAGAGTATGTGCATGACTGAGTTGATTTCGGTTACTGGAAATATGATAAAGAAAACTTTTTGGGTGTTTATCTTTTATCTGTCGTTTTGCAGTGTTTTGGATAAATGTAATACTTCTTTTTTTTCCCTTTAAACTGTGGTATAATATTCAATTTTTTTTTACAGTTTTTTATTTGCCTAAAAATATTCAGCCAGTAATTACGGCTTTGGATGTTGAAGCATAATTTAAATAGTCATTTGATCTGCTGGCTCTAGATAGAACATCTAAAAAAGGCTAGAAACAGTAGAACCGGAGATGATGCTAGTGAAAATGCATGAAAGCGTTTATACTTGCTTTCCTTTTTGACGCTTCTAATTCAACTAAACTCGATCAACTGACAAAATTATTTTTTTTTGGTCGAATAGCTAATTCAATTTTCAAAAAAAACAAAAAAGTTTTTTGAAAAAATTTGTAAAGATGAGAACATTTCTAACATAGCAAAAATGAAAAAGTAGTTAGGCACTTTTATTAACAATAAAATAGTTGTATTCAATTTCCGGTCAGTAACTGAGTCAAGAAGATTTCAGATTCAGCGATTTGCCAAAGACAAGGTACTTTAGCTTGTTCTAAATTATATATACATTTGTATTCTTTGTTGATAAAGTTTTTCAACAAAAAATTTTGTTTCTATGTCTAACATTTATGTTGGTTGCCATCTATTGGTACTGCATTATAAATGAGAAACTTCT